ACGCGGAAAGCCGCCAATCCCAGGGGCCGAGCCCTTGAGCTTCATAATCAGGTTCGAGAACATCCCCCCCGAGATGACCCAATCGATGCCCCCTCCGACCTCATGAATGAAAGGGTCCAAGACCTCGAAGTTAAACGAGTCAGCCCTCCTCGCAGCACATGCCTGTCCCCAATGCCTAGCCAGCGCGCGAGCAGAGTCCTCGGGGGTGCGATGGGCCATGCCGCCGTCATTCCGAATGGCGCGAGGATAAAGTTTTCGGTGCCCGGGGGCCCAGGCAGCAGCCATCTCGCGGAGACGGCTGAGCTTCAACTGTTTGGTCCCAGGGTGGATCGAATCATCGCCCGTCGCCTCCCGCTCGCGACGCCGCGGCCTGACATTAGGGAGGCGGCTAAGCTCGGGGGGGAGGCGGTCGAGAGCGCGCCGGCACACGACCTGCCAGCCGACAACTTCCGCGAGGCAGGGGAACGCGCGGCAGGCACGACGTGCGACAGTCTGATCTCCACGGCGAAAGGCACGAGTCAGGGCCAGCATCCAGGCGCAATTCTCGCCGGGCGAGGAAGGCCCGCGAAGTTCGGCGCGACGTTTCGTCCTCTTCGCGGCCTCGTGCATGACCTACTTACAGTCAGTAGTAGCTGAGCTACGCTTCTCGCTGAGATCAACTCCCTCCAACGGCCCCCCGATCTCCTCCGCAAAATCCTTCGACTTCGCGACCCACCTCGGGATGCCGATGCCACCTGCCCCTCGGAGCCCGGGCGATAGACGAGGGTGAACGGCCGAGTGGTCGCTCGGAAGATCGTCGCGCGTGATATTCCGAATTGTTCCTGTAGTCGGCCTGAAGTCCAGCAGCTCACCAGGGGGGACTGAAACGTAACTCCGATCAAGGCGCCCCAAGGGGACGATGCGCTCATGCTAGGTGGTTTTATTGAAAAAACGGCTGGTGGACTTCAGCAGGGCCCTGGCAGCAGCGATGAAAGAACCTCGCCACGTGGCCGTCCGTGCACTTCGCGTGCCCGTCGGATATCAGAAGACGCCCCCCCCCCCCCCGCGAAAGTTCGGACCGGCCGCGCAGACCCACGCGGCGGTGGAAGCGGGGCGCCCAGACTCTCCCAGAATCCGAATTTGTCGTTTGAGTTCCGTTTGGGTAAAATCAGGGTGCGAAGGTTGGAAACCGTCGTGGAGCCGGCAGCCCCGAAGCACAACATAGAATGAATTCTCCCAGGGGCCAGGGGAATCTCCACAATATTTGAAAATTCCATAGCCACCTTATCATGCACGAAAATGAGGACACCGTCAGCCTTCTCAGAGTCGCAGAAGGAGCCGAAAACGCGAAACCTGGGATACCCCCGTTGAAGCTGCAATCAATCACCAGGACACCCATGAGTCTCTTGAGCTAAAACGATTCCATGGCGATGAAGAACAATATCATGTGGCCTAGTTTCCGAAGTCGATGCTCGCGAGAGGCCCAGACACTTCCACATAGAGCCCGAGCATTCCAAGAAAACCACGGCAATAGTACAAGTAAAATGAAGGAAAGGGAGGGGGAAGACTGTACAAGGGGCCTCGGGAGCATTAGGATTAGTTATGCTGGAGCCAGCCGAGAGCGAATTAGAGGTGAGAGCTGGAGACAGGCTGCGCTCTTGGGGAAAAGACTCACCCTCAGTACCCATCAGCCTGGGACCTGCGCTGTCCTGAACAAAGCCCCCTGCGGCCCGAACTCGCTGATCTCGGCCTCGTGGAGACATGTCCTAGCGCTGGTTCAGGCTGGCCAGCAAGTCCGACGTCCCGCTCCGACACAATTCAGAGCTTGGCATTCTCGAAGACAGGCATGTAGACGAACCCCTGTTCTGGCGATCCCTTGATCCAGTGGAGCTCATGCGCGCCGTCCTCACTGCTGAGGTGGAGTAAGCCAGCGCAGCCGTTGCAGCCGAGCTTGAAGGAGGATGACTGGCGACCCCCCCTTCTCGAGCAAGTCCAACGTCCCATTCCAGACGAGCGACGCAGCTCTCTGGCGCATCCTGCCGTCCGTGGGTAAGTCCGAACGAACTCTAATGATTTGGTTGCTGTCGGAGCGCGGGTCAGACCAGCCGAGGTCGATGTCGACAAGGCAGCGAGAGGACTTCGATACAAGGTCCTGAGAGGCGAAGTTGGTGGCGTACGACTTAGCACCCCCCGAGATGTCAACCCCCGCTCCATTCAAGATGTCGGTGGGGACCTTCGGCTGAATAGCCTGCTCCCAGTGGGAGCGCCTCTGGGCCTGCGTGAGAGAGCAAAGGGCCGTGCCAATCCAGCGCCGCGTCGACGAGGGAGAAGGCGAGGAGCTCGACATGGGCGCCGCCGACGATCCACCAGAAGCCCCTGGAGTCACTGCAGAACGCGGCGGCTGCTGCAAAGAATTAAGCTGCGTCTGGGTGTTCTCGATGCGAGAGGAAACTGCCGCGTCGACGGCGCCAGCAATCATCTCAGAGTAGTTGGTGCTCTACAATTTGTTCAGGCGGTCACTGACGTTACGGACGCTGCTGTCGCGGATCACCAGTGCAGCTCTTACTTCTGCTATCTCCTGCCCGAGGCGGGTGGTGGATGCATTCGACTCGCGCGCCCCAATCATCAGCTCCGATAACCATGTTGGCGCCTCCGAAGGTGGTCCCGTGGAAGGCGTTGCCCATGAGGCACCGCGGATTCGCACAGCTGCGCCACCAGCAGTATCAGGCGTGGTGAGGCCCCTGATAGGCGTGGCAGTTCCACCGACTTGTGAGCCAGAGGAGTTCACGCTGACGATGGAGCGACTGCTATCACTGTGTCTCCTCTCGTCATCCGTGCTGCTCGGCTCACGTGTCTGACGACGGGCAAAGCGGCTCCCATGCTTGCGCTTCATATGACGCGACAGGAGAACAAGTGTCAGCACCCGCTGGGCCAGGAACTGGAAACACCCCAGTTTACCCAGCCCAGTGGGTGCACAGCGGGCCAAGTGCAGGAGGCCGAAAAAGCACGGGCACTGACGCGCCAGTGCCGCAAGGCCGATCCTCGCAAAAAGGGCGCCCTAAGCCGTCCCCTCAGCAGCGATCGAGCTCGAAACGCTGGGGACGCGCTTCGAACTTGAGCCGAACTGGTTTGAGCCAAAATGGCTACGGAAGGAGGAGGAGGAGGTGGAGGACCAGTGTAAACCCAAGGGTCATCAACGATGTTGCCATCAACCCTCCTCCACCCCCCTTCATAGGCTCGTGCAACGGTTCATCTCCACTGAGAGAACTGCTTCGTCGGAAGACAACCGTTTGAATATTCTGAAGCATACCAAAGCAGCGCTCGGGATTCCAACGCCACGGATAAACCTGACTGTTGCGTCTTGACAAGCCTCAATCGCGCCAGAACGCCATTCCTGGGACTTCAGCGTAACTGTGACACCCGCGTAACCCTCAACGTTGTTCATGGGAGTCCGTGAAACTCTTGTACCATGTATAACCGAATGAGCGCGTCGCTGGGACGAGAGTCACATTTTGAGAAAGAACACCCCTCAATCAGTGAAGCTCTTGCACATGTGTAAAACGAATGCACGCGGCGCTAAGGCGAGAGACGCATTTTGAAAACCACCCGCCCTCAATCCGTGAAAATATTGCACTTGTTGAGAACGAATGCGTGCGGCGCTAAGGTGAGAACGACAATTTCAAAAAGGAACCGCCCTCAGTCCGTGAAGTTGTTGCAATAAAAAAACCAATGTGCGCGGCGCTGATGCGAGGACCACTTTTTGATAAGGAGCCGCCCTCAATCCATGAAGCTCGTGCACAAGTTTAAAACGAATGTGCGCGGCGCTAAAGCGAAAACCACATTTTGAAAACCACCCGCCCTCCATATGTGAAACTGTTGCCGTATTCAAGTTTCGGAAGCATAAGTGGTGAGGAAGTCTCTGGCGAAACGCCCGGACCGCCCTACAAACTGGCCTCGGGGTACGACAGCGAGAACTTATTCATAACGGACAGGAAGGGAGGAGGAGGAGGAGGAGGAGGAGGAGGAGGAGGAGGGAGGGAAGGAGAGGAGGAGGAGAGGAGGGGAGGGGAGTGGAGGAGGAGGAGGAGGACCAGGAGGAGCATCGGCCCGAAGGATTCGGGCCTGGGGACGTGGGCGGCCGCTCCACGAGCAGGGCCGCCCGCGCTAGGCCCAAGTACCGTGCACGCTGACCATGGGCCGCCAGGATCGCCTGTGCGACTTCCTTTGGCGACCTCGACCTCCTCCTCCTCCTCCTCCTCCTCCTCCTCCTCCTCCTCCCCTCCTCCTCCTCCTCCCCCTCCTCCCCTCCTCCCCCTACCTCCTCCTCCTCCCTCCTCCTCCTCCTCCTCCTCCTCCTCCTCCTCACTCCTCTTCCTCCGCCTCACTCGACCCCGACCTCGTCAAGAAGCCGCCTGCTTCCCGCCTCCTGGGGCTCTCGACGTATCCCCCCCGAGCCCGGCGCGCCACGGGAGGACGCGGGCGCCGCGGTGGGCGGGCGGCCCGGGCTCTCCCGGCCGCCGCCCTCCCTGCTCCCCCTCTCCCGGCTCCCTGCCCCCCCCCCGTCCTGAGGGGCGCGCGCAGATTGGGAGGCGCGGGCCAGGTCTCCAGAGGGGCTTCTGTGCCGCTGTCGAAGTGGTTGCGCGTCTTCCTGGGCGCATGCTCTGACTGGGCCTCGGGGTTGACACAACAGTCCCAAAGAGTCCCTCCTCTTCCCTCCCTCCCCCCTCCCTCCCTCCCTGCCTCCTGCTCCTCCCTGCCTCCCTCCCTCCCTCCTGACCTCCTCCCTTTGCCCCTGACTCGATTCTCCTCCTCGCCTTGAGCGGCGGCGCTCGGAATAAGAGTACCGGTGCCCCTGCCCCATGGGGTGTGAGTCTAGCCGTTAACGGCCCGCAGACTCCTGACGCTCCTCCCCCCGCCCTCCCCCCCTCAACCTTCTGAGCCCATCCCCTCCCTCCCAGCGCTGCCCCTGAAAACTTCGGCCCCCAGGGGGAGCCGCGGCCGGCGGGCTGGCCGCCGCGGGCCTGGTGGCGCCGGCACAGCGGCGCTGGCCGCCTCTCGCAGCAGACGGTCGGCGAAGGCCTGCGGACGGGGATAAGGAGGAGGGGTAGGAGGGGTAGGAGGGGGAGGAAGAGGGAGGAAGAGGGAAGGAGGAGGAAGAGAGGGAGGCGGGGAGGAGGAGGAGGAGGACCAGGGTAAACCCAAGATGCATCAACGATGCTACGATAAACCCTCCCTGCAAGTACCCTCTCCATAACCCCATATATTAAATTGCTTTTATTGAGGGAGTGGCCCGTTAGAAATTACCCTGGCGACGCACCCACCCCCTGCGCAATGCGGGGCATGAGTAGCTTGGGAGACGTTATACGGAGGTGATGACGTGACATGGGCGCATACACTTCTGCGAGCGGCATTCGTGAGGCTCGCAGCCCCCAAAGGATTGCGATGTCCCGCTAAGATCTGCCTGGTGCCTCGCTCCGCTGGACCCACCAGCAGCCCTCGAAAGTGGCGACAGCTTCGCAGATCGCAGCCCCCCAGGCACGGCGAGGTCCCGCTCAGATCTGCCTGGTGCCTCACTCCGCAGGACCCACCAGCAGCCCTCGAAAGTGGCGACAGTTTCGCAGATCGCAGCCCCCCAGGGACGGCGAGGTCTCGCTCAGATCTGCGCGGTGCCTCACTCCGCAGGACCCACACAGCCCTAGAAAGTGGCACATGTCGCAGATCGCCCGCGGCCCCATGGAGGCGAGGTCCCGCCTCAGATCGGCGGCGGTGCCTCACTCCGCAAGGAACCAACCCAGCAGCCTCGAAAAGCGGCGGCAGTGTCGCAATCGCAGCCCCCGGGACGCGAGGTCTCGCCTCAAGCTCGGCGGGTGCCTCACTCCGCAGGACCCCACCAGCAGACCCTCGAACGTGGCGGACAGTTTTCGCAGTCGCAGCCCCCCAGCACGGCGAGGTCTCGCTCAAGTCCGCGCGGTGCCTCACTCCGCAGACCCTACCAGCAGCCCTCGAAAGTTGAGCGCGAGGTTTTTCGGCAGATCGCACCCCGCAGGGACGGCCTCAGGTCCTCAGCTCAGACTGCGCGGTGTCCTCACTCCGCAGGACCCACCAGCAGCCCTCGAAAGTGGCGACAGCTTCGCAGATCGCAGCCCCCCAGGGACGGCGAGGTCTCGCTCAGATCTGCGCGGTGCAGCACTCCGCTGGACCCACCAGCAGCCCTTGAAAGTGGCGACAGTTTCGCAGATCGCAGCCCCCCAGGCACGGCGAGGTCTCGCTCAAGTCCGCGCGGTGCCTCACTCCGCAGGACCAACCAGCAGCCCTCGAACGTGGCGACAGCTTCGCAGATCGCAGCCCCCCAGGGACGGCGAGGTCTCGCTCAGGTCCGCGCGGTGCCTCACTCCGCAGGACCCACCAGCAGCCCAAGCGGGGGCCCTCGAAAATGACGACAACTCCGCAGATCGCAGCCCCCAAGGACGGCGAGGTCCCGCCCAGGTCCGCGCGGTGCCTCACCCCGCAGGACCCACCAGCAACCCTCGAAAGTGGCGACCGTGTCGCAGATCGCAGCCCCCCAGGGACGGCGAGGTCTCGCTCAAGTCCCCGCGGTGCCCCACTCCGTTGGACCCACCAGCAGCCTTCGAAAGTGGCGACAGCGTCGCAGATCGTAGCCCCCCCAGGGACGGCGAGGTCTCCCTCAGGCCCCCGCGGCGCCTCACTCCGCAGGACCCACCAGCAACCCTCGAAAGTGGTGACAGTGTCACAGGTCGCAGCCCCCCAGGGACGGCGAGGTCTCGCTCAGATCTGCTGCGGTGCCTCACTCGCAGGAACCCCACCAGCAGCCCTCGAAAGTGAGAACAGCGTCGCAGATCCTGCGAGTCTCGCTCAGGACATGCGCGGGCGCCTCACCTCCCCATGACCCACCAGCAGCCCTAGAAGTGGCGACCAACAGCTTCGCAGATCGCAGCCCCCCAGGGACGGCGAGGTCTCGCTCAGATCTGCGCGGTGCCTCACTCCGCAGGACCCACCCGCAGCCCTCGAACGTGGCGACAGCTTCGCAGATCGCAGCCCCCCAGGGACGGCGAGGTCTGCGCGGTGCAGCACTCCGCTGGACCCACCAGCAGCCCTCGAAAGTGGCGACAGTGTCGCAGATCGCAGCCCCCCAGGGACGGCGAGGTCTCGCTCAGGTCCGCGCGGTGCCTCACTCCGCAGGACCCACCAGCAGCCCTCGAAAGTGGCGACGGTTTCGCAGATCGCAGCCCCCAAGGGACGGCGAGGTCTCGCTCAGATCCCCGCGGTGCCTTCACTCCGCAGGCAACCCACCAGCACCCTCGAAAGTGGCGACAGCGTCGCAGATGCAGCCACCCCAGGGACGGCGATGTCTCGCTCGATCTGCGCATTGCCTCACTCCGCTGGACCCACCAGCAGACTCTCGAAAGTGCGACAGTGTCGCAGATCGAGCCCCCAGGGACGCGAAGGTCTCGCTCAGAGCTGCGCGGTGCCTCACTCCGCTGGACCCTCCCGCATCCCTCGAAAGTTGGCGACAGTTTCGCGCCGACGCCAGCCCCATCGGTCGGAGAAGAGAGGCAGGAGGAGCTGGAGGCGGAGGAGGGCGAGGAGGAGGAGGAGGTAGGAGAGGGAGGAGTGTGGTAGGAGTACCAGGAGGAGGAAAAAGGGGGGCGGAGGATGGACGTCACCCCCACCTCCACCCCCCCCTCTGTTCAAAACGAATACCCAACCAAGGAGGGTTGGACAAAAATCCACCTGATGATCCTCAATCGTACAAAACTAACAACCCCTGCGACATCAACGCTGCAGATCAGCGCGAATGCTGCGTCCTGACAATTCTTAATCGCTCCAGACCGCCATTCCTCGGACTTCGACACCGCGAGTAAGTGTGATTGTTGCATCCAGACGCCGAACCGACGGTGCTGCAGAGGCTTGCCCGCGGCCCACGAGGTCGGCCATCTCATGTCGTAGTCGTCGCGGTTCGGCTTCGCGCGGCGAGAGCGAGGCCGATGACAGTGTCTCTGCCCAAGCGGGCCAATGGCAGCGGCTCGCGGGCTGCCGCGAGCCGTCCGATGAATTCGCTCGGAGCAGCCGCGGGTGCTGATGGCCGCGACGCGGGCGCTGCTGGAGTCGGCTGTCCCCCATTCCGAGGGTCGGCGCTCCGCAATGGATCGTCGTTCCCGGCGCCCCCGGCCGCGGGCCGAGGAGTCCCGGAGGCGCCCCTGCTCATCGAGGCCGCGCGCTGCGTGCGCGGGCCGCTGCTCGGTCGGCCCTAGCGGGTCTTGCTGTCCATGAAAACTAATGGCGAGGACGATGGTGCTAATTGTGGCGCTGGGTCGCAGGCGTCGAGAGCGCGCCCTTGTCGGCGGCGCTAAGGGGCCGTCGCGCACGAGGTGCTCCTCGGAATCGCGCCCGTGGCATTTGCGACGCGCCCCGTCAAGACCCACGGGGTTGCCTTGGCGGTCCGAATCCATGCCCGCGGCCCTGAACTCCCCCTCCCCCAAATTACCTTTGCCCTCCCCGAAACCCGCGAATGCTTCCCGGAGGTCATTATCGGACAGGGTGACTAGGAAACCGCGGTAGCCTTGACCCATGCTCTTGCCCTTGCCCTTGCCCTTGCCCTTGCCCTTGCCCTTGCCCTTCCGTTTGATGACCCCCCGGACGCGGCGCGCGGGCTCGCGGTTGTCGAAGCTGCGCCGGCGTGGCGCGGCGCGCTCGCGAGCGCGTGGAAGGCGCGCGCCGCGTTGCCCCGCGGGGGCGTCGCGTAACTCGGGGTCGTCGGCGGCCGTCGCCTCGCCGAGTGGGCCGTCGGCGTCGGCGTCGGTGCCCGAGTCGATCTCTGCTGCCGGGCATGCCCCCTGCGACGGCGGTGCCGCGCCAGAGGCGCAGCATCCAGACGTGGCCTCGGCCAGCGCAGGGGGCTCGGGGCCGATTCCAGCGCAGCAGGGCCCATGCCATCCCAGCTCTGTTCCTGCGCGGGCGTGCCCGCGAGGAACGCGCGCCGTTGGGCAGCGCGGGCAGCCGAGGCAAGATTGCCTGGCCATCCCTCTATCGCGTGCCCAGAGCGTCTCAACTGGCCCGTCATTTGGGTGAGCTGTCGACGTTCGTGGGGCAGGCCATGTTCTAGAATCTCCGGGGTCTCAGACAATCTGGCGCGCGCCGGAGAATTTCTTTGACCGAGAAATAAGGGCGGCTCGGAAACGGAAAAATATCAAAACATAGCAAACACATACGAACAATTGCTAAACATATACGTTGTCAGAATTTTCATAATTTCCCGTATCTCCATTATTTGCAAAGCCGGCTCAGAAAAGGATACATGCCACACATGACGAAACTACATAAACAAAAAGCGACAACTAAACGTGTTCATGTATTGTTTTCATACGTTCCATATTCCCCAATCGGAGCTTGCCTCTGTAGGGGTCCTAAGGGATTTAGGTGAAATTTGTCGCCGATTTCGGTGGCCGGGCCCGGTGCCCGGGTGCCCGGCGGTGCCCGGGTGGCTGGTGAGGTGCGTGGCCGATTTCGGTAGCTGGGCCCGGGCGCCCGGGTGCCCGGGCGCCCGGGGGTGCCCGGGTGCCCAGGGGTGCCCAATAGCCCAATAGCCCAGCAGCCCTATAGCCCTCCCTGTAGCCCTATAGCCTGATATCCCTATAGCCCTAATAGCCTTATATCCCTGTAACCCTATAGCCCCATAGCCCATGTAGCTCTATAGCCCTGTAGCCCTATGGCCCTGTAGGGCACAGTCCTATAGCCCTGAAGCCCTACAGCCCTATTCTGATTGGTTTTTCAGCGGTATCATGTTTCAAGTTGTGCAACGCTGGCTCAGAAAGGGAAGCATTTTTAAAGGCATATCAAACATGCGAGATTTTCTAAAGACACGCATAAACATATATACATCAATATACATGTGTGTTGTTGTGTCTAACATATATGTTGAGATGAGCTGCTGCTAGTGTTTGATAGTTTCCCTTTTCTGGGTGCCGGAGTCCCCGCCAACCGTGTATACGTATATACATGCAATCATATGTTTTCATAAGAAAGTTTGGCCAACTTCGAACGACAAAACATATGCTCGGCAATGCGTTTGACATCTTTCCTTTCGGGATGCCAAGGGTTCCACCAACTATATATATGTACACATATATAGATACATGCGTGTATCTATGTGAACAGCGTAAACTATATGTGTTCGCATTTGTTTGGCTATGTTTGTTTGCTGTTTCTGCTATAAGTGGCTGTTTGTTTCCTGTCGGGGGGCCAGAGGCTCCGCCCGCCAAACACATGGGAAATAGCTTGCAATATAGGTTGCCATTTATATTCCTACGTTTGGATATTTTTCCACCGGCCCCGCCAACTAGCAATACTTACACATAGCTTACATATATGTATCCATACTTGTCTATGCAATTGCTTGATATTTTTGTTATATGTTGACTTTGTCCTTTCGGGTGTTATTTTTTTTCCTTCGCTATGTTTTGCTTTTCGTTCAGCAATGGCTTCGCGGGATGCCCGGGGCTTCGCGCGCAAAAGAAATTCCGTTGCCGGGGCCTGCTGTCCGAGGCCCGGAGATTATAAGTCACGTTGCAGCGCTGCAGAATAATGGCAAGTTGAATGCTCGACGCGCCAGAGGCGCGCAGCAGGAAGAACCTGGGCCCCTCGTGGCCGATCATGAGTTGACCAGCTTGCCGCGCCCGGTTGCGGAAGATGTCGAACCTCGCCGGGAGGTTGTCAATGCGCCCCCGCGGAGGTTCATCAGAACCTATGCTGCCGAGGCGCGCTCCTTCTCGCCCAGCTGGCCCCGTCGTTCGGCAAAACTGCGTATTGGGAGGGTAATCGGTGGCGCTGGGTTGCCGTTCGTGAGACCTCCCTGGATTAGAAGAGCCGGCGGCCATTCGTCCACGCACTCGCGCGCCATGCCAGCAAGGCGCGACGAGACCTAGGCCGCCTGGCGAAACTGGTTGAGGTCCGAGTTCGCCACTGACCAGAACATCAACTCGCACGCCCATATCTGGGAAGGCGCGCGAGCCTGGCGCTCGGGCGCCCAGGTGCGGAGGTGGCGCATGTTGCCGCTGCCGCCACCTGCGTCCACGCAGGCGGCGCAGCTTGCGATGGCGCGCATCCCGACTTCGATGGCCTTCCATCCAGAACGCAGTTCCCTCCACCAATCGCAGAGGTGCTGGAGGCCGGGGATCCTAAGGCGGCGCTGCGTGAATTGCCGAGGACATTTGCCTCCGATGCGCTCCTTCTCGTCAGCGCATTGGGCGTCTGCTTCTGTCGCGTCGCTGCAATGCTCGCGGTGCTCGGAGCATCCCGCGACGCAGTCACGGGAACGCTCTTCGTACGTCGTGTGGCCACTGTGCTGAGCATTGCCAAGTACACGATCTTCTAAAGGAATGCGCATCGGGATTCCGTCCTGCCCGGCTGACGGGTCTGGGTGGGTAATGCGAAAGGTGGGGTCCCGAGGCGTGGTGCCTCGGAGCGATGGCGCCCCCGTCGTTTTGCCCTCCACTGCGTCGCCTCGGGGATTGAGAACGCTCTTCCCATGCTCCCCGTTGCGTCCTCGTTCGGGACCGGCGACGCAGTCGCCGGATGCCTCTGCTCTGCTCGTTTCTCCCAAGGCTCTTGAGACACAGTCCCAAGAGACTCGAGACCTCTGTCTGGCACCGCAAATGTGAGCGTTATGTCGAGCACCTGTCCAACACCTGAGGCTACCCCCGCGGGCGGATGTCCAGACGGTTTAGGGTCCGCGAGCTGCCTGGACACAGTCCGGGATGGGTCGCACAGCGGTTATTGTAGATCTTGGTGGTGTTGTCCTTGATGAGGTTCTGGTTGTGCACGTTCGCGGCCACTGGTCCTGGCAGATTGGCGGATGCCCCGACGGACCCTCGAGTAACGATCCCTGCCGCAGTGAGCGGGGACATGTGCTCGAAGGCGATGATGTTGAAGGCGGATGTAGAACAGGATGTAGAGCGGCATTTACAGCGGCACGACGTAATACTCCTGCGGATGGGCTGACCCAGCCCTGACGCACCCATGAGTGACGCCTGCAGGCGTCGCGATGTAGGAGTGACAGAGGGTGGGGGCCATGGCCATCGAGGCGTGGCTGGACATGGCGGCCGTGGTATTGGAGCAGGGGCGAACTTGCTCCGCTCCAACTAGAAATGAGGGTATAGGACGGTGAAAAATGGTTTTCGATAAACCGATGTATAGCGTGGAAAACGAGTCTGACTATGTGAAGTGGGCGCGGTGCAGGATCCTTGAAATCCAATACGGCAGCGGCAAGGACATGGTGAGAAGCAGGCGAAGCAAGAGGACTTACCGTTCGAGTAAGCGGGACATGAAAACGACATGAAACAAGAGGAGGAAGAGGAAGAGGAGGAGGAGGAGGAGGAGGAGGAGGCACCAGAGTCACCACAGCAGAATGAGCGGCAAAGAGAAGAGGTGCAGGGGCCAAAAACGTTCGACGGCGACGACCTAACAATCTAGACCAGCCCAAGAGCGCGTTCGGGTCAGGACTTCGGAGCGAATCTGGCCGTGGCGATGAAGGCACACGAGGGCACATCCGGAGGGCGCAAAAACAATGAAAGAGAGGGGTGATGGAGGGACGTTGACGACGACGACAACGACGAGAAACCTCGTTCGAGTAGAACTGGTTCAGGAACTCCTGGGCGCACGTCGGGCCACCAGCCTAGCCCGTCCTCCCTCTCTTCTTCCTCCTTCTCTTCCTCCTCCTCCTTCTCCCCCTCCTTGTTCTCCTTCCGCTCTTACATCGTTGTGCCGAAAGTTGTTTATAATTGGTGTGATGCTCCCAAATGCATAGCTTGCTTACTGGCGCGAGCTCACCACGACGGCAGTCCTGAGAGGCACGAGGGCTGAGGAGGCACTGACCCCCCCCCTCTATACCCTTTGAAGCCTAGCAAGACCCTCGTCTTGCGTGGTCTGGCTGAGATTTCACTCCCCTGATGTATAAAAATCACAAGGATAATAACAAGGAATTACTCCAGGAAAACTGATGGTGCTAGTACGAAAACTAGTAATCATAGGAATGATACAAAACCTAATACTAGTACTGACGATGACAACCATGAAGTACCAAACAAACCATATTAAAAGGAATACTGGTACTGGTACTGTTCATCGTAGTAGTAGTAGTAGTAGTAGTAGTAGTAGTAGTAGTAGTAGTAGTAGTAGTAGTTGTAGTAGTAGTAGTAGTAGTAGTAGTAGTAGTCGTAGTAGTAGTAGCAGTAGTAGTAGTAGTAGTAGTGAGTAGTAGTAGTAAGTAGTAGTAGTTAGTTAGCAGGAGTAGCAGGAGTAGTAGGAGTAGGAGTAGTAGTCGTAGTAGTAGTAGTAGAAGTAGTAGTAGTAGTAGTAGTAGTAGTAGTAGTAGTAGTAGTAGTAGTGGTTGTGGTGGTGGTTTGGTGTTGGTGGTAGTCGTAGTAGTAGTTTACTAGTAGTAGTAGTAGTAGTAGTAGTAGTAGTAGTAGTAGTAGTAGTAGTAGTAGTAGTAGTAGTAGTAGTAGTAGTAGTAGTAGTAGTAGTAGTAGTAGTAGTAGTAGTAGTAGTAGTAGTAGTAGTAGTAGTAGTAGTAGTAGTAGTAGTAGTAGTAGTAGTAGTAGTAGTAGTAGTATTAGGACGCTTCTTAATAACCCCCGCCGAGAAAGAGTGCACACGCCCGAGCGATACCAAGGCAACGTATTCCTCCTACAACTACTCGTTGTGAATTCGACTCCCGCCTGTCCGCGGAATATGGCAAGGGAAGGGCCCGCCCCCTCCTCCACGTATTGACTTTTGCACTCGCGGTTTCGTTCTTATGATTTTTGTCGGGGCAGTCTGGTCGGTTTCGGCCTTCAAAACGGTGCTGTCGCTGCAACGTGGGCCTCATTTTCGGATCGGCGATTTACTCCCGTCGTTCAGAATAGCGTTCTCGCCACGGCACGGGCCACGTTTCTGTATCCGAGTCTTTCGTTGTCGTTGTCGACCCCCTCATTTCTCCTCCCGCGTACTCCCGTAGTCTTCTTGCTCCTCACGCTCCATCCACTCCAGCTCCTGCTGCTGCTGCTGTTCGTCCTCGTCCTCCTCCTTCTGCCTCCTCCTCCTCATCCTCCTCTTGCTCCTCGTTGTCCTTCTCCTCATTCTCCTCGTTGTCCTCCTGCCCATCCGCCACCTACTCCTCTTCTTCCTCCTCCTCCTCCTCCTCCTCTTCCTCCTCCTCATCCTCGTCCAACGTACACAGCTCACTTTTTCGATTGCGCATGACACAGTAGGGTCTTTTTTGAAATTCCAGATCCGCTATTACACGCGTCCGTGGACAGAGAAACAATCAACGCCATGGGAGGGAATGGGCGGAAGGGTGGGATATGCACCTAGCTAGCCTTCTCCTCCTCCTCCTCCTCGCCCTCCTCCTCCTTCTCCTCCTCCCCCTCCTCCCCCTCCTTCTCCTCCTCTTCCTCCTCTTCCTCCTCCTCCAATTTCCTGGTGGCTGCATGGACCCGTCTCCTCCTCCTGCTCCTGCTTCTCCTCGTCCGCCTCCTCCTCCTCTTTTCCTCCTCTCTTCCTCCTTCACCTCCACCTCCTCCTCCTCCTCCTTCTGCTCCTCCTCCTCCTCCCGCCACTCCGTCCATCCAACTGGCTCCTGCTCCTGTTACTACCGCTGCTGCTGCTTTCTTCCTCTTCCTCCTCCTCCTCCTCCACCTCCACCCTCTCCTCCTCTTCGACATCGCCCCCTCGACACCACCACCATCGCCATACACATAACAATAATAATAATCATCACCATCATCATCATCATCATCATCAACACCACCACAACCACCACCACCACAATCATCATCATCATCATCATCATCATCATCATCATCATCATCATCATCATCATCATCATCATCATCATCATCATCATCAACATCATCATCATCACCATCAGCATCAGCATCAACATCATCATCGTCATCATCATCACCACCACCATCATCATCAACATCATCATCACCACCATCACCATCACCATCATCATTATCATCATCACCATCATCAACATCATCATCATCATCCTCATCCTCATCCTCATCCTCATCCTCCTCCTCCTCCTCCTCCTCCTCCTCATCCTCCTCATCATCATCATCATCATCATCATCATCATCATCATCATCATCATCATCATCATCATCATCATCATCATCATCATCATCATCATCGAAGCCAACATCATCACCATCACTGCCTGCGTCGTCGTCGTCGTCCTCACCGTCACCGTCACCATCACCACGACCATGATCACCATCCCCATCATCACCACCGCCATCCTCATCACGATCGCCATCATCACCACCGGCATCAGCAGCAGCACCACCACCAGCCGCCCCTCGACAACACCCCCCAACCGCCGCCCGCCCCTCGCGGCGGAGCGGAGCGAGAAAAAGCGGCGCCGGCGGGTGCGGCGTCCGGGGTCTTGGCGAACCCCCGCAGCAGTTGGTCCTCGCGCCGCGGGCGCATCGCCCCAGCGGGCCAGGCCAGGGGCGCGGGGGGGGGGGGGAATGTCTCTGGGGGGATGGCGAGACCGCTGAAGCGTGAAACCTGTCGGCCAGACATGGCACTATAGCCAGCGCAATCTTGGGGTAGCAAGTCTGCACGGGCGCCAAAGAAATGTAGCCCTCGTAAGTGGGGGGGGGGGAGAGGGGCGGGCGGGGGAGGGATTTTAGTCCCCCTTCGCGGGGCAGGGCTGGGGGGAGAACACGGGGGGAGGAGGAAGAAGAGGAGGAGGAGCAGGAGGAAGAGGACGAGGAGGAGGAGGAGGACAACCACCTTTACACCAAAACTCATGACGATAGGTAATGGTGCAGTGGCCCTGCTCGCCAGTAAGGATCTGGCTCCTCTCTCCCGTCCTCCTCTCCCTCTCTCTCTCTCTCTTTCTCCCGACACCCTCGCTCAGCACACTGGCGGCTACGCGAGAGCCGCCGCGGCCATAAAGCTCGCGCTGGGGAGGGCGGACGGCGCGCCATTCAGGTCCTCCAGCGTGGTGGTCGATGTCGCCGTGGTCGCCGTGGTCGTGGTCACCGTGGTGCTGGTCTGCGTGTGCGTGGTCTCGGTAAGGGAGGTGGTCTCGGTGACTGTGGTCTCGGACGCGAGGTGCTCGTGCTGGTGATTCCGTACTTCTCGAGATCGTACCAGTCGAGGTTGTAGGCCTCATCGGTGCACCCAAGTGACAGGTCCTCGTTGTTCTAGTCCCCGCCGCAGGTCTCGCACCCAAACTGCCACACCTGGTAGCCGACGAAGCCCCCCGAGTCGGTCATTCCCGACATGTAGTCTTTCATCTTGCTCTCGCCCCCCCCCCGCCGCTGTGTTAGTAGTCGCGTGGGGAAAGGAAGCCACCTCGGTCATCCACATCTTCTTGTTGTACTTCTGCGCCATGGCGATGGTGTAGGCGAACGCCTCGTCCGCGCCCTAACCCCTGTACGCGTACTCGTCGTGGCCATTGCAGCCAGGGCTCGGCGGTCACTCAGCCTGCCCGTGCGGACCACCCAAAGGCCGCGCCAGGACGCATGGGGTGAAAACCGCTTAGCGGGCACCCGGGAAGCAGGCCGCGAGCTGGCGCCCAGGGCTCGCCAATCGCCTTGCCGACGCGGACTCGGCGGCGAGCTCGGAGGGCAGCCACAGCCGGGCGCGCCAAGCAGGGAGGGACGCCAGCTCGCGCCAGCGCGGCGGGCAGCGTGCCGAGATCCACCTCGTCGTTGGCCTTGCGCCAGTCCAGCGCTGCGGCCGCGACTTCCTCCTGCGACAGCGCGTGGGCCTCCTCCAACTCGAGGGCGAGCTCCTCGTCGCCATTCGTCACCTTCCCAGCTGCTCTGCCACCGCGTGAATAGCCGGGCCCGCCCGGCAGCCCACAAGCGGTAGAGGATGGCAAGCAGCCAAATCGGCCGTTTCTCCTGGGGCTGGAGGAGACCCCCCCTAACCGAGAAAAAAAAAAACCGAGGAAAAACCCAAACCGAGGAAAAAACCCAAACCGAGGAAAGACCCAATCCCAGGAAAAGCCCAAACCGAGGAACAACCCAAACCCAGGAAAACCGCGAAATCTCCTCCGAGGAAAACCTCTCTCTCTCTCTCTCTCTCTCTCTTTCGAGGAACAAACAATACAAGACAATGATAGGGCTCCCTCCCTCGCCCCCGCCAGGCTTCGGCAGCCGCAGGCCCTCCGGCTCCGCCAACACCCCCGCGGCCGCCCGCCTGGCACCGCCACGGCCTCGCACAGCTCGGCGATCCACCCGTGGAGTTCCGCAGGCAGGAGCCGGAGCTCGCCCACCGTCCAGGCGCACAGGCCTGGCTTCCTGCACTGGGGCATGCTGCCCAACAGCTCTCGGACCAGCTCGGCAGGAAAACCACTCGGGAAGCACCGCTGCAATCAGGATCCCCCGAACCAGGCCCTCCTCACCCGAATGAATGTGAGTTTCGGGCTTGCGACGAGTGTAAGAAGACCTGGAAACCACCCCTCGCCAGTCGATGGGAAGGCCTGGCGTTGCCAAAGCTCCCTCCACGGCCGCTCAGAGAAGCGCAGGCGCGCCGCCGGGCCGCCCTGCAGCGCCAGCACCCAGCGCCGAGCGCCCGAGGCTGCCGCACCCCCCAGCGGCAGGGGCTGAGGGCGCGAGCTCGGCGTCCAAGACGTGCCGCCACCGCGACTCCAGCGGTGCAGGCGCCCCTGGGGCATTCGCCAGCGGCTTCTCGACCCCACGGCGCCACGCGGCCTGCCAGCGCGCCCGCGCCACCATTCTGGCTTCCTGCCAGGCGGCCTCGGCGTCAGCGATGACAGTCTGAGGGGCGACTACGCCCGTGCTCAAGCCTCCCAGCACGGCTGCCCACGCCGCGCTGCCAACATCGGAAGCGAGCAACGCCCGCAGAGTTCCGGCTGCCGCCGTTCGAACAGCCGCCGACGAGCGCCGCTGGGCGTGCTGCAAGGCCCGGAGGCGCCAGAGGCGGAGCGGGGCTGCATCTGCGGTTGCATCTGCCGCCTCCGCTCGCTCCGCGCTAATAGCTGCCGCTGCATGGGGTCGCTCAGGCACCGAAGCCATGCCCCGCCTCGCAGTTAACCACGTCCGCAACGCTGCTCCCAGCTGTCGCCACGCCTCGTCCACGTCGCTTTGCTGCGATGCGTGCTGGTACGCCGCCTCCTAGCGCGCCTGCACCAGGGCCGTGGTGTCTCGCGCGACCGCGGCAGTCCAGCCCTCGACCGCAGGACCGTCCAAGGCCAGCACTGGCTGCCGAATGAGCGCGGGCTCAGGCCCTGCACCTGCAACTCGAACTCGAGCGCCGCGTGGGTGGCCAGCACGAGGTCCCAACGCAGGCGCACCATGCGGACCATGCCAGCGGCGGCGGGGCTGGCAACCAGCGCCGAAGCAGGACGGGCACCCAGGTGTCGCGGGACGTACCCAAGAGTTCAAAGGTGTCACCATGTCAGCAAACACAGCACACCGTAGCACTCGCCCTCAATGCTCCTGTATGTTTTTTCGCGCAGTGCTCGCCGAAACCCTCAACGGTCAAGAACTCTTGCTTCGCGGGTCGCGGCGGCGGCCCCTGCGACAAGCGATGCAATGAAAGCTGAAAGTGTGTCGCTCTGCTTCGTGGGACGGACGGCTAGGATCAGCTTGGACCGTTGATGCTTGGACACTGGGATGTGCTTAGCGTGTCGCGCCGAAGCCTGCTGGTGCGCCAGAAACGGCGGCGCGAGACGCTAAGCAAACGTTCCTGATCGTATGCCGAAATCTAAACTCGTATTGAACATCTCGGGGGCATCGGGTCCTCCTTGACAAACCGACCGCGTGCGCGAGACTGTATCGCTGCGAACGTCTCTGGCCACAACACTCGACTACGACTACAGCCTGCTAATGCCTCAGATGGTGCTGCCATCGTCATCCTCTGATGGCTCCTCGGCTGGCTTCTCGAGCCATGCTGGGCCGTGCCCACCTCCCACTCCTCCTCCTCCGCCTCCTTTTCCTCCTCCTCCTCCTCCTCATCACCATCATCATCAGCACCATCATCACCACCATCATCATCATCACCATCATCATCCTCATCCTCATCCTCATCCTCATCCTCATCATCAGCAGTATCAGCATCAGCATCAGCATCATCATCATCATCATCATGATCATGATCATGATCATGATCATCACCATCATCACCATCATCATCATCATAATCATCAGTATCGCCATCTTCATCATCCGCAGCAGCATCATCGTCATCATGACCATCCACATCATCATCATCATCATCATCATCATCATCATCATCATCATCATCAACATCAACATCATCATCATCATCATCATCATCATCATCATCATCATCATCATCAGCATCATCACCACCACAATCATCATCACCACCATCATCATTATCACCACCACCACCATAACCACCACAACCACCACAACCACCACCACCATCATCATCATCAGTTGTCTCATCCTCATCCTCATCCTCATCCTCATCCTCATCATCAGCAGTATCAGCATCAGCATCTGAATCAGCACCATCACCAGTTTATCATAAATTATCCTTCTCCTCCTCCTCCTCCTCCTCCTCCTCCTCTGCCTCCTCCTCCCCCTCCTCCTCATCATTTCCTTTCGTTGCCTTGCCTGTCCACCTTCGTCCTCCGCCTCCCCTTGCCCCTCCTCGCCCCCCGAAGACAGCACGCGGCGATGTGAGAGGACGCCCGCGTGACGCGGGCGGCCGGTGCCCCTCACGGAGGTCCTCGACGTTGTACACGCTGCTCGCGTAGGCCTCGGAGCCGCGGAGGTCCCGCAGGGCGTGCTTGACGCGGACGCGCAGGATCCGCCGGTCCTGCTCTGCCGGCCGCTCCGCCGCGGGACGGGCGAGGGGTGTGTGTCGAGGCTCGAGGGAGTCGAGGTTCGGGGGCGTGGGGTCGAGGTTCGAGGCCGCGGGAGTGGGGAAGCAGGAGACGACACCGATGGCACGCCGCCGTAGGGGGGGCCCGTCAGCATGTAACGGACGTCGAGGGAGCACCATGCCTCAGAAGAAGAAAAAGAAAACAGGCTGACGGTCTCCCGACTGCGGCGTGTCATTGATGGTCTGTTTCCCTCCCGCGGGAGGGGAGTGAGGGGAACGGTCGGAGGGGACTGGCTCAGGGTAGTAAGTAAGCATTGAGCTGGGATCGGCGATGCATCGCCGATACATCGGCGATAGGCCCCGATAGCGAATCCGCACGTTCCTGGGCGGGGTGGCCGATCGGGCCTCTATCGGCGATGAATGGGCGATTGAAGGTCGGTGCGCCCCTCCTCCTGAGCCTATTCCCCCCCTAACGTTGCCCCCGAGGACGGGAGGGAGAGGGGGCTCGAGGTTCGAAGCTCGAGAGCCGCACCGACGTTGGATGGCGGGAGGGAGGAGGGGGATCGAGAACCGAGGACAGAGGATCGAAGTGGCCTCGGGAAGCCCCCTTCGGGGCTGTGATTCTCTGCGGGCAGCATGAGGTGTGGGCGGGGGAGCGGGGGGAGGAATTGGCAAGGAGACCGATAGGACCAGGAAGATACGGAAACGGGATGTGGAGAAGGCAACAGTTTGAGTGATATGACACTTACGAGAGGAACCCCAAACAGTGGGTCCTTCTATTTATGATGCTGCATCTGTCTGACTTGTACCGCAACAGAGAAGGGCTAGTCGAAGCTGGATGCGACCAGCGCACAGCGCTGGCCACCAGGGCAAAGAGCCAGAAGGAGCTAGTCTGGGCTAGTCGCGGTCGGTATAATTTCTGGCAACCTGGACATTGGCCCAGGAAGTGCTGAGCGGGGCTTGCCGCGGGCAGCGCAAGTAATGGCGACCCTGGGTGAGGGGCCTGCTGGGGCCATTCGGGGCTACGTAGTCGTGGGGGTCTGTCGGAGCCATTCGGGGCTTTTAGCGCGGCCAGCGTAACTCAGGCTTCCCTCGGAAGATTGGCACCCGTCGCCTTTTCTGCTGTTAATGCCCTGCGTGTTTTCAGCGCTTCAGACCCAGGTCTCGTGAGGCCGCGCGCTGCGATTGGCACACGCGCTCAGCAGCGCCAGCACTGCCGTCCCCAGTGATTCGAAATCTGCGCGCTCGAGGTAAACTTGGGCCGAGACGCGAATCCAGTGAGTTCCAACAAGCGCACCTTCTGGGTCGTTCGCATCGGCGGGCGTCTGCAGCGTGAAGGGGATGACCTGCATCGAGTAGTCTCGCTACAGCCCTAGCTGCATGTCGTCGACGCATTCCTGCTGCCGAGAACTGGGCCACGCCGCCGGCAGCGGGAGGCGCACAGCGGCCATCGAGGCCGTCATGGAGTCCGCGGCGACCGTGCTGGTGCCGAAGCGCCGCGCCAAGGCACCGCCGGCCCACCGCGACAGGCCGGCCGTGTAATCCTGGATGCGCCGCTCGCCTCCCAGCACCTGGCGGCGGAAGCTCAGCGCCGCGCCGACAGCGCACCAGGGCGTGTAGTCTCGGGTGCCTATGTAGTCGAACCTCTCGTGGAAGCCGGCAGGCGGCGCGTTGTCGGAGGAGATGACGACCGGCTGCAGCCAGCCCTGCGCGTGCCGCGCCGCCCAGAGGAACCCCGTGCCCTTTGGCGCCATGAGCCACTTGTGGCCGTCGGACACGTAGAGGTCTACCCCGGCGGCCGAGAGCTCGCGCATGTCGACGGGGATCTGGCCGAGCGCATGAGCTCCGTCGGCCAGCACCAGGCCTTGGCCCGATGTCTCCTGCTTCACGAGCCTCGCCAGCTCAGCCAGCGGTAGGACAGTCGGTGGATACGAGGACACGTGGTCGAAGACAGCGAGCCTCAGGCGCTGGCGCTGCTCGCTGCCCAGGGCCCCCAGCGCCTGGCCCACGGGGCCCAAGTAGGCCTCGGGGCCATGGACGGGAAACGTGATGTTGACCCGTATGGTCTCGATGCCGTACCTGCGCTCCAGCCACCTGGCGACGTTCGGCAGGACGGCGTAGGCGGCGCTGGTTAGCATCAGGAGGTCTCCCCGCCGCCAGTCTAGGCTCCGCAACACCGCGTTGAGCCCCGAGGACGCGTCGTCCAAGAAAACCAGGTCTGCTGCGTCGGCGCCCATGAGCTCCGCCAACTGGGGCCTAAGCCCGTCCAGCACAGCACGGTAGCCTCCTGCACCGAACCACTGCGTGGGCTGCGCCTCCGCCTGGTTCAGGAAGTGCTCCATGGACTCTCTCACGGGCCGCGGAGTGGCACCGAAGCCGCCGTGGTTGAAGTTCACGAAGCCCGGCCGGAATTGGAAGTAATCATCCCGCAGGCGCTTTCCAAAAGAGACTGGGGTCGACGGTCCTGGGCTACCGGCCACAGAGTGTCGGCCCGCATGCAGGAAGCACAAGGAGCACAAGCGCAGTCCCAAGGACACCATGCTGTCAGTCACAGGGCGAAAGGCCTGGCTGTCAGAGCTGAGCCAGACTTGAGCCAAAACGGCTACGGGCAACTGCCCGACACCTTGTTGAAGGCCGCGGGCGAAGGGGGAGGGACACAATCCCCGAGCTCGAAACTAGAATCTGTCCCCTCTGAGCAGGTGCGGCAGATAGGCTTCACTCGGTCGGGGGTCCTTAGTGCTCCCCCGGAGGTGGATTTCCCAGACGTCACCAAAATAAACGAATCGGGTAGGAAGAAGCCTACCCAACTGGGTATGGTTGCTAACCCGAATGGATATGAGGCCCAGCGGCTTGGGAAACGGCTCCCTCGATTTTTCTGTTCCCGGCGCGGTGACAAGGCCGCCACTAGAATGTGACTTTGTTACCTAACAGCGAAGACTGATAGGTTTCTAGTTGACTCAAAAGAGCTCACAGATCACTCCACAAGGGGGTCCGGGCAGGCGTTGGGAGTTGCCGGCCGGGCCTGTGCCGGGCTCGTTTTTCACCAACAGTCACACACTTCGTGCTCGTCGACCTCTCAGAACCCCATTCCCAGGCCACATTCTGAATAACCGGATGCAGCAATCACACACTTGGTGCTCCTTGACCTCCCAGAACGCCATTCCCGGGCCACATTCGGAATAGCCGGACGCAACAGTCATACAATTCCTCATACTTGACACCCCAGAACTCCATTCCCGGGCCACATTCTGATTAACGGGATGCAACAGTCACACATTTCGAGCTCTTTGGCATCCCAGAACCCCATTCCCAGGCCACATTCGGAATAACAGGATGCAAGAGTCACACACTTCGTGCTCCGAGACCTCCCAGAACTCCATTCTTCCACCTCCCAAAACTCCATTCCCGGGCCACATTCTGAATGCCCGGAGCCAACTGTAGGCCACTTCGTGGTCTTCGAGTTCCCAGAACTCCATTCCCGGCGTACACTTTGGATGCCCGGAGCCAACTGTAGGCCACTTCGTGGTCTTCGAGTTCCCAGAACTCCATTCCCGGGCCACATTTTGGATGCCCGGAGCCAACTGTAGGCCACTTCGTGGTCTTCGAGTTCCCAGAACTCCATTCCCGGGCCACATTTTGGATGCCCGGAGCCAACTGTAGGCCACTTCGTGCTCTTGGACTTCCCAGAACTCCATTCCTGGGTATGATTTTGAATGCCCGGAGCAAACTGTAGGCCACTTCGTGTTCTTCGAGTTCCCAGAATTCCATTCCCTGGCCACATTTTGAATGCTGAGGCAGGCTGATGCTGAGGCTGAGGCAGGCTGAGGCAGGCTGAGGCTGAGGCCGAAGCTGAAGGCAGACTCAGGCTGAGGCTGATGCAGGCTGAGGCTGAGGCTGAAGCAGGCTGAGGCTGATGCAGGCTGAGGCTGAGGCAGGCTGAGGCTGAGGCTGAGGCTGATGCAGGCTGAGGCTGAGGCAGGCTGAGACTGAAGCCGAGGCTGAAGGCAGATTGAGGCTGAGGCTGAAGCAGGCCGAGGCTGAGGCTGAGGCTGAGGCAGGCTGAGGCTGAGGCTGAGGCAGGCTGATGCTGAGGCAGGCTGAGGCTGAGGCTGATGCAGGCTGAGGCTGAGGCAGGCCGAGGCCGAGGCCGAGGCTGAAGGCAGACTGAGGCTGAGGCTGAAGCAGGCTGAGGCTGAGGCTGAGGCAGGCTGAGGCTGAGGCTGAGGCTGAGGCAGGCTGAGGCTGAGGCAGGCTGAGGCTGAGGCTGATGCAGGCTGAGGCAGAGGCAGGCTGAGACTGAAGCCGAGGCTGAAGGCAGATTGAGGCTGAGGCTGAGGCAGAGGCAGGCTGAGGCTGCGGCTGAGGCAGGCTGATGCTGAGGCAGGCTGAGGCTGAGGCTGAGGCTGATGCAGGCTGAGGCTGAGGCAGCCTGAGGCTGAGGCCGAGGCTGAAGGCAGACTGAGGCTGAGGCTGAAGCAGGCTGAGGCTGAGGCTGAGGCAGGCTGAGGCTGAGGCTGAGGCAGGCTGATGCTGAGGCAGGCTGAGGCTGAGGCTGAGGCTGAGCAGGGCTGAGGCTGAGTCAGGCCGAGGCTGAAGGCTGAGCTGCTGAGCAGCTGCTGAGGCTGGCTGAGGCTGAGGCAGGCTGAGGCTGAGGCTGAGGCTGAGGCTGAGGCTGAGGCTGAGGCTGAGGCCGAGGCTGAGGCTGAGGCTGAGGCTGAAGCAGCTGAGGCTGAGGCTGAGGCTGAGGCAGGCTGAGGCTGAGGCTGAGGCAGGCAGGCTGAGGCTGAGGCAGGCTGAGGCTGAGGCTTGCAGGCTGAGGCTGAGGCAGGCTGAAGCAGGCTGAAGGCAGGCTGAGGCTGAGGCTGAGGCAGAGGCAGGCTGAGGCTGAGGCAGGCTGATGCTGAGGCTGAGGCGAGGCTGAGGCTGAGGCTGAGGCGAGGCTGAAGGCAGACTGAGGCTGAGGCTGAAGCAGGCTGAGGCTGAGGCTGAGGCAGGCTGAGGCTGAGGCTGAGGCAGGCTGATGCTGAGGCAGGCTGAGGCTGAGGCTGAGGCTGATGCAGGCTGAGGCTGAGGCAGGCTGAGGCTGAGGCCGAGGCTGAAGGCAGGCTGAGGCTGAGGCTGAAGCAGGCTGAGGCTGAGGCTGAGGCAGGCTGAGGCTGAGGCTGAGGCAGGCTGATGCTGAGGCAGGCTGAGGCTGAGGCTGAGGCTGATGGCAGGCTGAGGCTGAGGCTGAGGCAGGCTGAGGCTGAGGCTGAGGCTGAGGCTGAGGCTGAGGCAGGCTGGCTGAGGCTGAGGCTGAGGCCGAGGCTGCAGGCAGACTGAGGCTGATGCAGGAGCAGGCTGAGGCTGAGGCTGAGGCAGGCTGAAGCTGAGGCTGAGGCTGATGCTGAGGCAGGCTGAGGCTGAGGCTGAGGCTAATGCAGGCCACTGCGACTGTCATCGCGAATGCGACTACGTCTGCGAGAACAGCAGAACTCTACAACTGGATTCTCATCTGAATCTTAAAGGGGATGCTTCCAGATATGCTCCTACACATCGCTGTTAGGTTGCTTTGCCGGGATAATTTAGCTCAGCGCAGAGGCCTTCCGAAGCTGACCAGATCGGCCCATAGCTCTCATAGGCTGTGGATCGGACTTGGGGGTATTGTATGGTACTCTAGGTGTGGGGCCTCTGGGACCTCTCACTCTCGGCACCTCCCCGTCCTCTGCCCCAAGGCCTCCCGCAACAAAGGCGCCGCAGGCAGCCTCGCTGAATCAAAGAGAGGGGACTCATCTCTGCGCCGGCGCCAAGTTCGGTCAGAGCTGGCTCGCGCCCGAGGCGCAGCTGCAACAAGATCGCCGATCCCCTCTCTGCTGCTAGATGTCCGTCTCTCTCTTCCTTTTCTTTATCCTCCCTTTTCTCTGGTGCGCAGTGTAGCCGCTGGGAGCTGGACTGTTGCGCCTCAGGAGCACAGGAACACGGGAGGGGAAGGGACGTGGCGGAGGGAGAACGGAAGGGGGGAATGGAGGGGGGGAATGGAAAGGGGGAAGGTGAAGGAGAAGGGCAAGGAGGGGAGGTGGGGAGAGAGGCAAGGGTGGTGATGGACAGGGGAGGGAAGAGGGAAAGGAGAGGGGTTGGCAGGTGAGAGGGGGGGGGTGAGGAGGGCGGGAGGCGGGAGGGTCGGAGGACAGGATGGGGAGGGCCGAGACCGTTGAATCCTGAACCATCGAGGGCCGCCCGAGATCTGCTGTCCACGCTCTATCCCTGAGCTGCGGACAAAAAACATCGCTACCCCTCGTCGTCGTCCTCCTCCTCCTCCTCCTCCACAGCCTCATCATCATCATCATCATCATCATCATCATCATCATCATCATCATCATCATCATCATCATCATCATCATCATCATCATCATCAACATAATCATCATCACCATCATCATCATCATCATCATCATCATCAACATCCATATTCACATCATCATCATCACCATGAACATCAGTATCATCATCATACACAATACATCACCATCATCATCACCGTCATCATCATCAACAGCATCATCAGCATCATCATCACCACCACCATCATCATCATCAGCATCATGAGCAGCAGCATCATCAGCATCATGGTATCATGATCAGCATGATCATCATCATACTCATGATCATAATGATCATTATGAGCATCACCATCATCGTCATCATCATCACCATCATCATCTGTACCATCGTTCTCATCATCATCACCATCGCCATAATCGCCATCATCATCATCATCGTCATCATCATCAGCGTCGTCATCATCATCATCAGCATCATCATCATCGTCATGATCATCATAATCATCATGATCGTCAACAGCATCATCAGCATCACCACCATCATCATCATCAGCATCATCGTCATCATCATGATCATCATCATCATCATCATCATCATCCTCATCGTCATCGTCATCGTCGTCGTCATCCTCATCCTCATCCTCATCCTCATCATTCCCGTCCCCGTTCTCATCCTCATCCTCATCGTCATCATCGTCATCTTCATCATCCTCACCCTCATCATACTCATTATGACCATCACAACCATCATAATCATCATATAAAGAATCATCATAGTCATCAGCATCCTCCTCCTCCTCATCCTCATCATCATCATCAGTAGCAGCAGCAACAGCATCATCTTCGTCCCTCTCCTCCGTCTTTTCCCCTCTGAATGCCCCTCCCGCTCGTAGTCATGCTACTGCTGCTGCTGCTGCTGCTGCTGCTGCTGCTGCTGCTGCGCATCCTCCTCTTCCTCCTCCTCCTCCTCCTCCTCCCCACTCCTTCTCTCTCCCCCTGTTGCGATTGCTTGACTCGTGATCATGATGCTGCTGGTCTTCCTCTTTCTCATCTTCCGCCTCCCCTTCTTTCCGTTCGCCTTTCCGTCTCTCGTCGGACGAGGAGGAGGAGGACGAGGAGGAGGAGGAGGAGGAGGAGGAGGACGAGGAGGAGGAGGAGGAGGAGGGAGGAGAAGGGAGGAAGAGGAGGAGGAGGAGGAGGAGGAGGAGGAGGAGGAGGAGGAGGAGAGGAGGAGGAGGAAGAGGAGGAGGAGGAGGCCCTCCCCGCCCCCCCCAAGCGCAGCCTCCCCTCCAGCAGAAAAAAGAGAGAGAGAGAGAGCGAGGCGGCTGCGAGGTCGACGAGACGTGGCCTCTCGGCCCA